AATCAGAAGTTGCAATAGAGGAATTTAATTATGTAGGACATTGAAGATCGGGCCATAGTGTACTTATTTTCTAGTAATTAAGAGCTTGCTATTTAATTTAGTTTTCGATGGAAAATATTTCTAATGTTTCTAAAACTCCCAGTCCACAAAGGGTTAAAGAAGTTGTCTTATTTAGATGGGAGTAGATAAAATCGATTTTCTTCTGCATATGGTTGCTGTTTCGTTGAAACAGGTTTTCTTCTTTTCATCTTGATATTTTGCTGATGATGATGATGATATTTTGCGATGATCACACTCACATACACAGATAAACTGCTTTTATGCTGTACATAAATGGAACAATGTAAATATTGACAGACTTTCAAAATATAACATTATAACTCACATGCAATAACTTTGTTCATATAAAAAAAGTTAACACTGGAGAATTCTGAGCGGAAAAATTGATTTTCATAAAACTGATAAATGGTGTAATAGACGATACGTTGCCAATGCTTAGAGTCTTCAATGATATGATTTTATTTCTGTGCGTTCATCGATCAGAGTTTTGATTCTTAAGTTTGTGATCTTATTTATTGATGAGTTTTTATGTACCTTTACAAGGTTTTTCTTTATCTGTTCATGAACATCAACTATAAACAAATAATAATGTTATCAGTTAACTAATAACGTTACAACGTCTGAGGCAAGATGGGAATATTTCCGTAACATCACTTAATTCTTAAATAAAATGGCTCGGGCGTAGATAACATAAAAAACAGAGATACAGGACGGGTCTAAAAAATCAATGCGGAAAGATTTCGAAGCAGTTATACAGAAAAAAAGTTAGATATTGTAAAGCAACTGCAGATTTTGCTGTGCTTAACCCTAATCGGACCACGATGTGATTTTGAGTCACATTTGAACTTTTTCCTTAAATTTTTTGATTATTACATATTGCATTTCCAAAAGATTTTTGGGATTTTAAAATTTGGACCATATAAACAAAAACAATAACATTTTAATCATTCCTTTTATTCTTATAAATGATTGAGAGTCACATCGTGGTGTGATTCGTTATAAGAACACGTGGTACGATTAGGGTTAAATCTACATTAGAAAGAGAAGTAGCTATTCATCGAAAAAATCCTGAACGTGTATTCAGGATCTAGATTATTTAGTTTAGATCCTTAAAAGTTGCGTGTTTCAGTCGATACCTCGTATGTATGTGACACAAAGAAATACATAGTATCTTGTCCTGTACACGAGACAAGACAAGATTTTAATACTATTTAAAAAATTTTTATTTTGTACTTTATTCATTAGACTTCATAAATCAATTTTAATATATTTCTATGGAATACTTACTATCACTTTATACAATGTTGTTTACAGATGTGTGTAATGTGCAGTAAGTTTTTTTGAAATCACCTTGCTCCATCTTTCTCTACACATATACAGGGTGTAACTAAATTGTTGCGCACAAATGATAGGGCGAGTGCAACTCGCTAAACTGTGTAAAAGAACCCCAGTAAACTATTTATGTATTCGTGTACTTCAGTTACGATAATGTATTCAAAGTTTTTACTTTTTAGACTATAGAACTAAAATAGAAGTAAGATTTTGTACGCGGTGCGTTAAAATTACTGCACGTCGCGATTATCGTGATACTTCATCTTCATACTAACGGAGATTGATCTGAGGAAGCTGTTAGAACATTCGCTTTGATCACAAAAAAAAGATCATTTTTTATTGTTTCATCATATTCTACTCGTCGCGGAAGTTAATACTAAAATTACCATAACCATCAGAACGGATTTCAGTTTTCTTATCTTGGAAGTATTCATATTTTAGAAGTATTAACCTTTGCACCCGAGAAGTGACTCTCATTCACTTCACTTACTGATTTCATACAGTAAAACTATAAAATTTGATATTTAATATTATACCTTGTATAACTCATCAATTTAAAAAGTATTGAAATAAAATAACTTTTTTCCTCAATGTACGTATAATCTCTCTTTGAGTTAATTCCACAAAATATCGTCTTCATCTCATCAGAAAATGTTAAAATATTTCTAGTGAAAAACTTCCGAGTGCAAAGAGTTAAGAATCCGAAATGATTTTGAAAATAAATAGTTTCACGTAATTACTATAACGAATATCTGAAGAAATCGAAAAAAATGTATTGTTGCAATCTTTATAAGGATCACATTTGAACCTTAATAAATGTTCGGTAGTTCTAATGTTATTAAACGCGAAGGAATCGTGAATCAGAAATAACTCGTTCACTTGCAAATTACTGTTAAAGTTCGTTTGTTGAGAATAAAGGCACGTGACATTCAGTGCCCTGTTTTGTTATGCTACGTATCTTCTCTAGGAATACGTAAACAAGATTGTTTATCGATCGAGTCGTCGGCTCACATTCGAGAACAAATTGGATCACATTTTGTCACTTTGTATCGGAGCACACATAGACAATGCTATGCTGCCTGAAACGTATTCACTATTGACCTATCGTGAAATATAAAAGGTCATTGGATACGAACTAACCCTAGACAACTAAATCTGTCCGAATAGCGAATTTTTAATTCTTTCATTGAAATGAGAAAAATTATTCTAGTGTTTCTGTCGGGGTTTTTATTAACTTTTATCAAAATAACCGAATGTTACGGTTAATATAATAAATCTGGTTTGTATTAATAATAACCAACCACTATTAATAATGTCCGCGTCTTTTAGTAAATATAAATAATAAATTTTAATAATTATATTTACCGATAATTATTAATAATTACTTGTGTAGCTTGGTTCATTTAATACAAACATTTTTTGTATTATCTTTTACTATTTATGAAGAAATTTTCACTACATTTTTTACCGTGATTATAAATTATTTCTTAATTTTTGTACAGAAAAATTTTCTGACAAAATAATTGTTATTGACAAAACTATGCCACAGAACATAGGACATTTTTTTATAAATCATTACAAAAAAAATTGTACATTTATCTCGTTATAAGTTACTTATTTATTTGTATAGAAAGAAGTTTTAACAAAATAATATTTATTGATAAAAGTATAGTATGTAAATTAATACAAAACGCAAATTGAATATGTATGATATTTTTCCACTCCTTCCCTTACATTTACCGAAGATAGTTCTGAATTAGTAATAATTAAAGGTTGATGTGATAAATTCTTACAAAATTAATCACTTTAACTTTTTTATTTTGTTAGTCTTAATTACGGTCAGTTATTAATAATATAAACCAATTAATTACTCGAACTGTAACAAATGTACAAAGTGCATTTACTGACTGGTACAAGATATAATTTTGCTTCTGTTGAAATTACAAAACAAGCTCAAAGGAAACCTTTACACTGTTTGACGTGCTCTATGGTACTATATTAACAAGTTTTATATAAATACATTGACGGAGTTGCAAAGTGCAATATCACTTTCCTTTAAAATGAAACCCCGTAAAATATCACCTTTTTGTCATTTTACGTAAAAAAAAGAACAAGATAATATCATTCGAAACTGAATACATTTTGAAATACTTTACTTTGAATATTCAGTGTTGCACCAATACTTTGTCATATTGGAATCACTATCCAGCTATGTATAGGATCTTATTTACTGACAGCGCGATTTCAATAAATTTTCAAAATAAAATATCTTCACTAAAGGTTTACGTAAAATAATTCAAGGAAGCGATTTATATAAAAAAAAAAGTTTCATTTGAAAGAAAGTGTAATTACACTTTGCAAACTACATCAATGTATTTAGGAAGAAATTGGTGTTGTAATATGACAGAACCTGTGAGATAGTGCAAAACTTTTCTGTGCGATTTTTTTTTAAACTTCAACAAGAATAAAGTTATAGTTTTTCGCAATTATTAGATACACCCTGTATACCCATAGAATACGTAAATACATCCAGATTCGTTAATATGGCGGGTATAGTAATTTCATAGATTCTTTCATTTATAAAAAGGAAATTTGCCAAGTGCTCGTTAGACAAGTTGGAAATGTCAAAAGCTAAGAGCCTTTGTCAAATGGACAGATGCATATACCAACTGACATGACATGTGCGTACTAGCATCGGAGTACACCCTTGCACGTTCGTTAAGTAGCGGGATTTTCCCGCTGTTGCCAAATGTATTTTTTATCCAAAACTTCGTCGATCTCTTGTTCCCACTCCGTCAGCATCCCCTTCCAAACATCCGAAGGAAGGGTAAAACAGTTGACTTGTGGGTGCAAGAGCTCCGATGAAGGAGAGTTCACTACACGCATTCGACAAGTAGAGTTCACCTTACGCATTCGACAAGAACAGTTCACTTCCACGAGTTCACGTATCACATTCGACAAGCAGAGTTCACTACACGCAATCGACGAAGTTCAGTTCACTTACCACAGTCGCAAGTCACACAAGAACATTCGCAACGAACACTCGCAACGAACACTCGCTAACACCTTCAAGAGCCTCTGACATTCGAACATCGTCGTGCTCCATCGGTCGAGCTATTCGCAAGATATTCGCACCACTGCTCCATCACCGGATCCAGGTGCCCAAAATTAATTTGGCGGGCACTCAAACGAGTAAAGCGAAACGCGTCAACTGGCGAAGCCACGTTTAGCTCCACGAAATTATACATGGTCCTTCGAGCCGGATCCGCGGTCTACGGGAGTGCAGTGCGCATATCATAATTCAAATCGAAGACACGAATTCATCATCGCATCAACAAAGGGCAGAGAAGCAGAGGATCATCCGATCAAGGACCTCATCGAGCAGCAGCTGCCGAACAACGCTAGCCGACAACCTGCCGTCATCGCTGCCGCAATCCAGGGACATCACCAGCCTTCAACCCTGAGACAAGATCACGATATCTATTCGAAGGTAGGCTCGTTACATGAGATTGCCAAGTCACTAGACACCAGTCCTTGCTAATTCCCATCGCAATCGTCACCCCTGATCATCACTCTCTTTAATTCATCCTCTCCTATCTCGATCAACAATGGCGACGGTATCTTCGAACGCGAACAGCCACACAAACGAACAACGCATACGCGAATTGAAACAACAGAGACGCGCATTTAAGGGTCAGATCACGAAATTCCGAAAATATTTAGGACGGGTTGAAAATACGCCAAAGAATCGGTATAAACTCCGTTATAGGATACATCGAATGAGAAACCAATTCGAAACTTTCAATAAAATTCAAGACGAACTCGCGGTCATAGACAATTACGACGAAGTCGAAGCGGAACGCGACACTACCACCGATCAGTTCGACGACGTAATAGCAGAGGCGGACGTCCTATTTGACACGCTCAAAAAGGACGCCGCACCTTCTACACCCGCGAGCCTTACAACCGATGCATCGACGAAATCTCCGGCATCCCCGACATTGTGTTCCATTCCAGTCAATCTACCGAAGATTGACTTACCGAAATTCGACGGCCGAATAGAAACCTGGGTCACATTTAAGGATGCGTTTCAAACGCTTATCCATACGCAACCAGGTTTGTCCAAAATTCAAAAACTGAATTATCTCCGGTTATCGTTAAATGGAAGGGCCGCGGACGCGATCGACACATTTTCGATAACAGAAGACAATTATGACGTCGCGTGGACGCATCTAAACGAAATCTACAACAACAAGCGGGTACTCATTCTCCGTCACACTGCGCTCTTCCGCGACACCCCCGCGATGAACGACGATTCATCGGAATCGATTCGCGACCTCGTGAATCACATGCAATCACACGTCCGGTCACTGCAAGCCTTCGGTCGCAATTTATCCGACGACGACATTGGAAACGATTTTCTGTGCAGCGTGGTTATCTCAAAAATGGGCTGGGTAACACGCAAGGCTTGGGAACGAACCCTTAAAAACACGGACGCACCAAAAATCGGGGACATTTTTACATTTTTACATCTTGCGTCCCACCAATCAAAAGATTACGCATCAACATACACACCACGAACAAGACAGAACTATACGAACGCGACCGTCACGAAACCGCGACCAATGACGCGATCACAACACAGCCGTCCTCATACGCCCCACGCCACTCAATCTCAACGGCGTCAAACGTACGCGATGACAGTCTCTGCCAATCCTGAGCGAAGAACGCCGACCTCGACGCCGCGATCGTCTCCGCCGGTGACTCCTCGATCGTCACCGCCGTCTACGCCACTGCCGCCGTCGCCTAGATTACGTCGACGACAAGGGTAGAAAT